GAATTGCTGATAATTACTGTTGAGGTACTGTCGATGCTGAGATTTACTGATAATTACTGTGGTCATTGTTTTTAACCTTGTAATTGGTTTAAAATAAAACAGAGGGTTATAAAAACCTTCAATTATTACTTTTTTTTACTTGAATTATCATGGCAAAATTTTCATATTTTTTTTTAAATGTTCCGCTTAATTGTGGCAAAATTACATGACTGTATGTATGCTGATCTCAATTTCTACATTACGTTAACTTTGTGGAAATTTTGACAATAATCAAATGAATTATTAATAGAATGAATATATAGAAATAGAATTAATAAAAAAAATTATCGGCAGAAAAAAAAATGGAATTTACTTTTGCATAAGATCTTATTGAAAAATAAACTGTAAATAAAAAGAAAATTATACTATCTTAAAAAAGATCCATCGCCGCCTTTCCCGACTCCAAGAAAATTATGTAGGGAGATCGGTGATCTTTTTTTTCAATAATAAGAAAAAAGTTCTTAATGGATGGGAAAAAAATCGGGATAAAAAAAGTTTCCTGCAGGTTAGAAAAGTTGGATTTGTTCCGTTTTCGCTAGGTCAACTGGTCGAGTTTGGACAACATTTTGTTTTTGAAGGCCTTTTTTCTCGAAAACAATTATATTTATCTTGTTAATTAAATGTTCAGTTTTCTGGTCTCTTTTGTCGAAATATTTGAAAATTTGCTCGGAAATTAGAAATTTTATCCCTTTTAAAAAGTAACTAAGAGGTGAAAACAGGTTTGAATATGTTCAATCTGTGGGCACTGATTTTAATTAATAATTTATTTATTTATTCATTTATTTTAATGTTATGTAGACGTTTGTAGATCGTCCAAGAATTAAACTCCTCCACATGTACATGTGTGCAAGTACACACTGTATGCATGTGCAACCGGCAAATGGGGCGAGCTGATTAAAAATTAGAGGTTAAGAATCCCTAGTACAAAGGTACATGTGTTTAGTTTGTCTTAAAATTTAAATACAAAATCATTTTTTATTTAATCAGTTTTGAAATCTCATTAATTTTTTTATTTGATTTTATGGAATGGGAAATAAGAACTGAAATGAGACTTAATTTTATATGTTACCATTAGTATATGATCAAATTAATCGATTTTAATTTTGCATGGTAAAAAGTTGAAAGGAAAACACCTTTAAATTGATTTCAATTGATCAGAAATCGGTGATCGACCTGTGATTTGGCTGTATTGTGTACATGTCTTCAGCCCCGGGGTAGAACGGGGTACAACTTGTATATTCCATGCAAATTGTAATGGTCAGCGTAACAATGGGCACTAATTACCTATTGTTCTTCGTCTGCGGCTACCGGTGTTTTCAATAAACAAACTACCTACACTGTACATGTACTCGCTACTTTGGAACAATCTTAAAGTTTATGGGCGCACGAAAAAAAAAAATCCATAATATTGAATTTGATGACGAATAAAATTGATAGAAAAAATATTTAGAATAGAACACTTTGGTACTATAATGAAAAAAAAAGATATATACATGTACATCATGTACGTTGTACAGACTTATTTTCATTATTATTCAAATTCTCAAAGATCTTCAGTATTTAATTTCATTTTTTAGTTTTATGCATATTTCTTCAATCAATCAATCATTTATTTGAATCTTTTTACCATTTTACTTTAGAATACATAGACCACAAAAACATATAAAATGTATGTGATTTTATACATAACAGTAGGTCTAAAAGGCATGCGTGAATAAGAAACTAAAAAAAATTGTAGGTTGCTATAAATGCGAAGTAAGGGAATTTAGGCCGGGGAGTATATTTTGTTTATCAGATAAAAGAATATCCCGGGGGAGGTGGTCACATGTATTTTCAATTCTGAATCTCTGCTAACGATTGTTTGGGACAAGTAAATACGTAGACGAGAAATTGACTTCACTTTTTAATAAAAAAAAAAGTGTGCAAAATGGACATTCAAATAGATAAAAAGAGAAAGATTGTTTAGTGAAGCACTTTTTTGAAATAATATTAGCATGAATTGTTCCCAATTCAGATGCAGGGAAATTCCACTTCGCTTAATCCGAGAAAAAAAAAAAACCCTTAAATGTATGGATTTTGAATGTCAGAAACATGACGTTGTGTATCGCACTCATGAATAAATGTTATAATTACTTCAGTTCTGAAATTTGAATGGTTCATTGCAATTGATTCTCTAAAATGATTTTATTCATGCATATAAAAAATTCGATAAGTATAATATCATAACTTGCATGACTTTTAAAACACACAACTAAAGAACAGACCTTGCCTTGTCGGCTATCACTTAATTGTAAACAGTATTTCACCCCCTCCTTTTTGTGCTACAATCAAGTAAAATCATATAAATAAGCACCAAGTCTGTACTGTTCGTTTATACAAAGGTCTCGGACAAAAATGGAATTAAAAAATTATAATCACTGCACAAAATTCTAATTTTACAAAAACGCAAGCCGTAACGATACCGTATCCCTATGGCAGAATGTACTAATAATTGACCCAATTCTAAAACGAAAGTAGAACTTTTACACGTGGTTGACATTATGTTCAATAACAACAAACACAACGTTTGCATTAATGGAAAAAGTTTATTCAAGTTATGATTTATTTTATTTAGTTTTTTAACTGACTGACCGCATATAACATGTTTAAGGAGTGGTGCATAATATTAGAAGCCATATGCCCATAGACTTAAAACTGTATACAATGAAAAAAGAATTAGCCTAAAGAAAGACGTATTTTTCATTGACTGAAAATCACACTGCATAAGATTTATGTCATGTAGTGTACAATCCTTAAGCCTTAACAAATAATTTAAAAGAGAGTGAGAGAGAGAGAGAAAGCTAGAAAGCGACACGATATAAAATTCGCAGGGAGGACATCGGAGAACTAGAGCGCGCTGTCTACATAATATATAAAAAAATAATTAAAGATGCTTCAATTTAATTATTTAACCCTGTCACATTCTTCTATAAAATAACAAAGTGTACTCTTCAAGACTAGATTTTATGAAAAATATTTAATACTGTCTTGTTAAAATGAGAGCTTAATTTAAAAGTAATTGGAAAGGGGGGGGGGGTGTTTTCAACTTAATGTGCTCATGCATTTACAGTTCTCCACACGGTAAAATAATTTGATATTTACAACCATTGACTGTATTGAAGTATTAAAGAAACCCACAAAAAGCTTTTGATGACAGTACACATACATGTGAGAAAAAATATGAGATGAGATTTTTTTTTAACCTTTATGAACAAAAATTAAACTTTTTAAAAAAGTACTTGGGAAGAAAAACCACTGCAAATACAACAGAATAATTTTCCTCAGATAATGTCATCTACGTGTAAGGAGAAATTTAAAGAAAAAACATAAACATTTATGAAAGCTCATGTTAACATTATGGTCAAAAATTATTATAATGAAATTAATATATGAAAACTGAAAACAAATTAATAAAATGTGACTTTTTTATTTAGAATAATTTATTTTGTAATCGACTGTAATGAATTTGTTAAAATACTTTTTAAAAAAAACAAATAATCATTTCTCAGGCTATTTTAATCCATTCCCAGGTTAAAAACAATGACCACAGTAATTATCAGTAAATCTCAGCATCGACAGTACCTCAACAGTAATTATCAGCAATTCTCAGCAGCGACAGTACCTCAACAGTATTTATCAGTATTTATCAGACTCCACAGTAAAAGACGACAGTAATTATCAGTATTTATCAGCAACAACTAAAATTATCAGCAACAACAGTAATAATAACAGTAAATATCAGTAATTATCAGCAAGAACAGCACCATATCAGTAATTATCAGACATTATCAGTAAAATTTGGGATTCTCAGCACTTTTTTCGTCCAGTAGTGTGGGTACATCTGTCCTGACTATGTGGTCTTTGTCCTGGGTACATCTGTCCTGATTATATTATCTTTGTCCTGGGTACATCTGTCCTGATTATGTGGTCTTTGTCCTGGGTACATCTGTCCTGATTATGTGGTCTTTGTCCTGGGTACATCTGTCCTGATTATGTGGTCTTTGTCCTGAGTACATCTGTCCTGATTATGTGGTCTTTGTCCTGGATACATCTGTCCTGGTTATGTGGTCTTTGTCCTGGATACATCTGTACTGATCATGTGGTCTTTGTCCTGGGTACATCAGTCCCGATTATGTGGTCTTTTTCCAGGGTACTGCAAATCTATGGGGTCTAGCACGGATATATTGTTTGAACATTTTAAACTTTGACAATATAATTTTAGTTATTAACAGTAAAATTATTAGTAATAGTTAAATAACATAAGAGTTTATTGAACGAGTATGTACTTTATTAGTAAATCACATGCTGTGACTTTATAATTGGAAAAGAGACTTTGATATTATGAACTATACTTCATCAACGTCAGGAAAGACCATTGAAAACAATCTGGACTCTTAGGTCGCGCTCCATTGACCTGTTCTAGACAAGTCCCAGATAAATTCTCGCGCAAAGCGAATGGTGCAGAAAGAACACAGACTATGGCGGACAACTTGTTTTTTCAGGCGTTAATGCCACTTTTTTTGGACGACCTGCTTGAAAACGAGGAGGAATTACGTCAGCATTTTCAAAGATTTATGCAACTATTTGCCGCAACTTTGTTGTCAACGTGAGTAAACCAGTTTTCACAGGTCCTATTATTTATTAATAGACATTTTCTCAAATTTTGCCTCAGTTTTTACCAGTACAACTGTTTTTTATTTATCAAACGTGATTTTAAATAATATCTAAATCTAGAATATAACAAGCAGTATTGCTTATGGGCGCGCAAAGGGGGGGGGGGTCTCAGTAGAGGAAAACGATTTCAAACTCGAGAATTATCTTATGTTTTTGCTTGTACATTTTGTATTGTAATAGGACAAGAATGATTAAAACCAGACAGATGATATATTTTGAAAATAAAGAGAGGTTTATAAGGGTCATTTTTTGCTTAATATTATGTACATGTGTAAACTCTTTAATTAATAATGAGCTAATATAATTGTTATTTAAATGTATTACAGGGCAAGGAATAATAAGACAAGAATAGAATTGTATGTGGAGGAAACGGTACCCTTCTACAACCTAGATGACTTCCGACGTTTCTTTCGGGTTTCCAGAGCAACATTTGAATGTTTATGTAGAAATATTGCCCACTTTCAACAGTTACAACCTGGGTGGACGGGTGAAAGAGAATTTATTTCAACAGATAAACACTTGTTAATTAGCCTTTGGTATTTGGCAACCCAAGATAGCATTCACAGCATATCAGACAGATTTAATGTTACAGAGTCCTCTGTTATCAGATGTCGAACAAGGATCACTGACATTTTTGTTAATCATCTAAAACAAGTTTTTATTACACTACCCTCTGCTAATGAACACCAGGAAATAATGGACAAATTTGAACAAAAACAAAATTTTCCTGGTGTATTGGGTGCTTTAGATAGAACTCATATTGCAATAAAAGCACCTAAAAGCCATCCTGAAACTTATGTCAACAGAACGGGGTTTTACTCAATTTTCTTGCAAGGAATTTGCAGAGAGGACCTTAGATTCATTCACTGCATAGCAGGTTGGCCTGGAAGCTGCCATGATGCCAGGGTTTTAAAGAATACATATATATGGGAAAATGGTTTGGCAGTTTGTGGCAATGGACATTTTCTTGAAGATGGAGCCTATCCTTTGAGAAGCTGGTTGCTTACTCCTTATCGTGACACAGGCCATTTGACACCCCAACAAAGAAATTACAACTATCGTCATTCCGGCACAAGAGTGACAATTGAGCGGGCGTTTGGGTGTCTAAAAGGACGTTTCAGACGTTTGCGATATTTGGAAACTTTAGAATTGAAAACATCTGTTGAGATCATTATTTTATGTTGTATAATTCATAATATATGCATCCTAAACAATGATGATGTACAGGAATTTTTTGAAGACAATCAGCAAGGACTTAATGTGCCTCAATGTAATTTAGTAGACAATCAAGCCGAGGGACTAAGAAAACGTGACAATATTGCTCAAAATTTACCTTGAATGATTATTTCATTGATTTATTGATTTAATTGATACATGTATACCATGTCATGCATCTGATACAGTACCATGGTAATATGTAGTTCAAATTGTCTGTAAATTTGTAATTCTGCATCAAATGAAGACAATAATTAAATACTGATTGTAACTTGTTTGAACCTGTTTTTACTGAATATTTTTATTCAATCTCAAATAAAAATAACAAGAGACATTTCTTTAAAAATTCCACATTTTATTTTTTATTTATATGGAATAACAAAATTTGAAAAAAAATAATAAATTGGCACTTTCTGTGGATGGAATAACAAAAACTAAAAAACAAAATGGCACTTTCTGTGATAACTAGTAAAATGTAAAACAATCAACTGAAAATATTTTGCTTATACACAAATAAAGACTTTCATTCATGGACATATTAAAAGAATTATTTTACATAATCTACTTGATTATCAACTTCCATTGACAGTTTGCTGCAGGTAAATTTTAACTAAAATGTTCAACATTTGAAAACTTTAATTGATTTATTGATTTGCTTCCTGCACATTGGACACTTATTACTAGTAAGATTTGCTGCACATTTCACACACGCTATCAGATGTCCACAAGGAACAAATACACATTCTGCAATTTTTCCATCCTCCATGCATATTTTGCACTCGTCTAGAAAGGAAATATAAAAGAAGTTGTACAAATCTGAATGAAATGAAATCCAATTTTTTCAGGCTTAAACTATTTTTTTTGGCTTGACTTTAGAATTTCCAAAAAATTTCCAAACATTTCCATTTTTTCGCGGTGTCTCCTTTCCACTTGTTCTTCAAAACGCTGATTCTCATTCTTCATAATTTGTTCCAAACTTTCTACAACTTCATTTGACTGACGTCTTTTAGAACTCTGATATTAACTTTTCAGGAGACACACATTTTCTCTTAGTAGAAGTTGAAGGAGTGTCAGGCCTACCTGTGTTGCTTTCCTCTGTGCTGGTTTCCGTGTTCGACTTGGCTTCCGTGTTCGACTTGGTTTCTGTGTTTGACTTTGTCTCAGTGTTGGATTTAGTGCCAATTACACACTCAGGTTGAATGTTGGGCTTTGCCGACATAAAATCTAATTCATCTTCATAAGGATGACTTTTTCTTTCGGATCCACTTTTTTGGTTGTGGTCTTTCACGTTTTTCAATCCTCGCATTAAAGTTTTCCATCTCCCTTCTACTTGACCTGGACTGAAATTACATTTTTCCTTTTCTTTAAGAGTTGCTGCAATTTTGTTCCAGAGAGCCTTTTTTCTCAATTTCCCACTAGTTATCAATTCTTCGTTTTCTCTATATTGATTAATGAGTAGGAGTGTGGCAGGTCTGGTCTAAAGGACAGCTGAGTCGGGTGCCAACTCAATGGGTCACCTGTCTTCTTCAAGGTCAAGGCTTTCATCCTCTTGTTGCAAAGTTGCGCAATCGTAGCCACCACTACCTGTTAAGAGTAAAATTTATAAATAGAGTATCTCTTTTTCTGAGGTATTTAATACCATCTATATCGGATGTATGATTCATTACCCAATCCTGATAACTATATAAATTTTATTTAATAGCCCTTTCATTTAGTTGACATTGTTCCTTAAGACTTTACCAATTAATTTTATTGTTCTGAAAAAAGTAGTAGCGGGCGAGTGAGAAAATAGCAGTATTACTTTCTTTTTCGCATGAATTTTAGGCAGAACATGAATAAAATTAACCGAACAAATATATTTTTCCTTCTGTATACTGATTTGTTGAGTAAGAAGATGTAACTTTTACTTTACAGTTTTACTTACACCCAAATTCCTTAGCCATTAGTATACATACTGTTACAGACACATGGGCAAAACATTTTAATCTTTTATATTTCAACTGCATGTTTATCAGCTGTTCATTAACCTTTTTTTTCAAATAACCATGTAACATACCCTAAAAGTGAAAGCGGCAACCACAACTTTAATACTTTACTACCTTGATGCTCTCCAAAACGGGTTTAATAAATAAATAAAAAAAAATAATGATTGTCAATGTCAAGGTACTTAGTAATGTGTTTAGGGGTAAGAACTTTGCTCAATACCCCCACTTTTTTCTGGCCAAGATAGGTAAAGATAGGCCTACTAGTACTAGATACATAGGCGTCGGAACCGGGGGGACTTACCCCCCCCCCTTTTTTTGCAAATATATATATATTATAATATAGGCATTGAAAAGTGTGATTACCTTTTTTGCTGGTTTAGCCCCCCCCCCCCCTAATTTTTTTCTGTTAGTTAAGCCTCTTCCTTTCAATTTGCTTCTGATGCCAATGCAAATTTTTAAATAAATAATTTTAAAAATAAAAAATATCGATACGCATTTAAAAGTTTCCAAAAATGCTGCAGAAATAGTACATGAAGCATATTTTTGAGATCACATGTTAGAAAAACTTAAGAAAAAGTTATCTGAACTAAAATCATACAAAATCATACAAAATTCGTTTATATTTACCTGGATCATCACATGCATGGCCCCTAAATACTTCCATATCCTGAAACAGTCGATGACAGTCCATGCATTCAAAGAGCGTCGCTCGGTTCTGTGAGTTTGTCGCCATCTTGAATTCTGGCTGCACTACCTCTCGCACGTGGACAGCAAGAACTGTCCGAGAACAGTGTACTTTCACACTCCATTGACCCCGCACATGTTCGGAGTGTTCCAAACAGTCAAAGGAGCGCAGCCTTAGTTTCCGAACGTTCAGTTGTAAGCTATTCTTATACATTATATGGTCTTCGTCCTTGGTACATCTGTCCTGATTATATGGTCTTTGTCCTGGGTACATCTGTCCTTATTATGTGGTCTTTGCCCTGGGTATATCTGTCCTGATTATATGGTCTTTGTCCTGGGTACATCTGTTCTGATTATATGGTCTTTGTCCTGGGTACATCTGTCCTGATTATATGGTCTTTGTCCTGGGTACATCTGTCCTGACTATGTGGTCTTTGTCCTGGGTACATCTGTCCTGACTATGTGGTCTTTGTCCTGGGTACATCTGTCCTGATTATATGGTCTTTGTCCTGGGCACATCTGTTCTGATTATATGGTCTTTGTCCTGGGTACATCTGTTCTGATTATGTTGTCTTTGCCCTGGGTATATCTGTCCTGATTATATGGTCTTTGTCCTGGGTACATCTGTTCTGATTATGTGGTCTTTGTCCTGGGTACATCTGTCCTGATTATGTGGTGTTTGTCCGGGGTACATCTGTCCTGATTATGTGGTCTTTGCCCTTTGTACATCTGTCCTGATTATATGGTCTTTGTCCTGGATACACCTGTACTGATTATGTGGTCTTTTTCCAGGGTACTGCAAATCTATGGGGTCTAGCACGGATATATTGTTTGAACATTTTAAACTTTGACAATATAATTTTAGTTATTATTAGTAAAATTATTAGTAATAGTTAAATAAAATAAGAGTTTATTGAACTAGTATGTACTTTATTAGTAAATCACATGCTGTGACTTTATAATTGGAAAAGAGACTTTGATATTATGAACTATACTTCATCAACGTCAGGAAAGACCATTGAAAACAATCTGGACTCTTAGTTTTCGAACTTTTAGTTGTAAGCTATTCTTATACATTTTATTGGGCTATGCTGATTACAATTTTGTTATTCATTAAAAACCTACACGATTGCGAAGAAATTGTAAAATTGGATTCATTTACTTAACCCCTGGGTACATCTGTCCTGATTATGTAGTCTTAGCCCTAGGTATATCTGTCCTGTTTATGTTTACTCTGTCCTGATTATTTGGTCTTTGTCCTGGGTACATCTGTCCTGATTATGTGGTCTTTGTCCTGGCTACATCTGTCCTGATTATGTGGTCTTTGTCCTGGGTATATCTGTCCTTATTATGTGGTCTTTGCCCTGGGTACATTTGTCCTGATTATATGGTCTTTGTTCTGGGTATATCTGTTCTGATTATTTGGTCTTTGTCCTGGGTACATCTGTCCTGACAATGTGGTCTTTGTCCTGGATATATCTGTCCTGACTATGTGGTGTTTGTCCGGGGTACATCTGTCCTGATTATGTGGTCTTTGTCCTGGGTACATCTGTCCTGATTATATGGTCTTTGTCCTGGATACATCAGTCCCGATTATGTGGTCTTTTTCCAGGGTACTGCAAATCTATGGGGTCTAGCACGGATATATTGTTTGAACATTTTAAACTTTGACAATATAATTTTAGTTATTAACAGTAAAATTATTAGTAATAGTTAAATAACATAAGAGTTTATTGAACGAGTATGTACTTTATTAGTAAATCACATGCTGTGACTTTATAATTTGAAAAGAGACTTTGATATTATGAACTTTACTTCATCAACGTCAGGAAAGACCATTGAAAACAATTTGGACTCTTCGTTTTCCAACTTTCAGTTGTAAGCTATTCTTATACATTTTATTGGTCTATGCTGATTACAATTTTGTTATTCATTAAAAACCTAAACGATTGCGAAGAAATTGTAAAATTGGATTCATTTACTTAACCCCTGGGTACATCCATCCTGATTATGTAGTCTTAGCCCTAGGTATATCTGTCCTGTTTATGTTTACTCTGTCCTGATTATATGGTCTTTGTCCTGGGTACATCTGTCCTGATTATATGGTCTTTGTCCTGGGTACATCTGTCCTGATTATGTGGTCTTTGTCCTGGGTACATCTGTCCTGATTATGTGGTCTTTGCCCTGGGTACATCTGTCCTGATTATGTGGTCTTTGCCCTGGGTACATCTGTCCTGATTATGTGGTCTTTGTCCTGGGTACATCTGTCAGGATTATATGGTCTTTACCCTGGGTATATCTGTCCTGATTATATGGTCTTTGTCCTGGGTACATTTGTCCTAATTATATGGCCTTTGTCCTGGGTACATCTGTCCTGATTATGTGGTATTTGTCCTGGGTACATTTGTCATGATTATGTGGTATTTGTTCTGGGTAAATATGTCCTAATTATAT